CTTTCATGACCAAAAACTAAAAACAAGAATTGGGTGCAAAAGTTTGAATTTATTTTGGATTTTCTCTCAAAATTATATATACAGGATCAAATATATAGAACCCCACTAATAATTGGTCACATGGCCCTTTGCACGTTGCAACTCAACCAAATGCTTTTGTTAGCCATCGACAAACTTGGCATAATTCTGGCTGGATATTTCATCATTCTTCTTGGTAGAATTGGTAAAGTTCATTTAAACAGGTTGGTTTACTGGCACAGATCCAGCAAATTTTCAATAGGGTTGAGGTTGTGGCTTTAGAAAATCCACTCCAGAAGCTTGATGTTACTCTGATTTATCCATTACAAACTTCATTTTCATGTGTGTTTGGGATTATTGAGCTGATGGAACATCCAAATTGTGTCCAAGCTTTAACCGTCTAGCTGTCGATTTGAGGTGAAGTTTAAGAATTTTGAGGTAGCCCTCATCCATTTCCATTTTGTGCAATGTAGCAATGCGACTGGTGGCAAAACTGCACCCAAGCATGATGCTATCACCACAGTGCTTAAAAGCTGGTAGAATTCTTATTTTGCAAAGCCTCACCTTTACTCCTCCAAACGTATACTTCTATTCAGTACATGTGAATAGTACTCATTGATCAATGGTCATGACAATTTGCTTATTAATGATCATGAAACTGACTTCATGGCCCATTGTTAGTGAGTGGTGCTAGTTTCAGTCGTTACGCAAACGTCCTGCTTATAAGGTTGGGGAAGCCTGCAGTCAGCTGAGACTGAAGAAGTCACTTGGATGGGTGACGAAACGTTTCTCCCAGTGAAAACACAATGTCCAGATGAACAGAAGCAACTATTTGGGTTTTTGGATCAGTGGTTTCTTTCTTGGTCGCCATCCTCTTAGTCCTTGATTATCTAAAACTTCCTTCACTGTGGACAGTGACACCAGTGTTTCAGCAGTTTTTAGTTTATGGCAGGCTTGAGCCTTGGTGGTTCATTGATTGTTCGTGAACATCCTAACATACTTGCTCTTATTTGAGGGTGACAGTTTGGATCTTCTTCCAGTCCTTGGCAAAGTGTTGACAAAGTGATCATTAGTCATTTAAACTAATGATCTAGTAACCTGTAGTAGAAATGGCTCCAAGAGACCTTCTTAGATCTTCACTGAGTTCCTTGGCCTTTCCCATTGTTCAGAGTGCTATCAATCAAATCCTTTTTATGCTGACAAAGAGAAACTACCAGTTGTAGTCAATCATGATCATTAACGAGAAGTTAATAGGCCTAGAACCCTAACTGAATATACAGGGAGGGCCATTTATATGGATACACAATGAAATGGGAATGGTTGGTGATATTAAAGTCCTGTTTGTGGCACATTAGTATATGTGAAAGGGCAAACTCCTCAAGATGGGTGGTGACCATAGTGGACATTTAGAAGTCGGCCATCTTGGATACAACTTTTGTTTTTTTTCAATAGGAAGAGGGCCATGTGACACATCAAACTTATTGGTAATGTCACAAGAAAAACAATGGTGTGCTTGGTTTCAACGTAACGTATCCATATAAATGGCCCTCCCTGTACTCTTCAAAACCCACAGCTCATGTAGACAGTGTACCAAACCAACCGTGAGTGGTGTTTAAAAGAAAAAAAAAAAATCTATAGAAATTAGTTTCACACTGACCATCCTGACAGCTCTGAAAAGACTCATCTAGATGCAAGAAAACAGAAAACACACACACAAAAGAAAACTGCACAGCTAGAAAGACTTAAAAAAACGCAGGCACACAGATAGTGTCACAAGCCACTCAATTCACATTACCATTCATTTTATGAGTAAAAACCCCCCAGAATGTTTTGCAAATAGGAAATAGCTTTCAATCTTACTTTCATGCCTGCTTTCAATGAATTCCTAAGCACAAAGTGATGACTGGCAACAGCTCAGGGATGGCTTCTCATACTCAGAGGTCTATGAGGTTAACCCCGCGTCAAAACCAAGCTGTCAGCACTCATAAGCGAACGGGCGGGCTGTGCTCACAGGAGTAAACAGAGCTTACGTCAGAAGAAGTCAGTTGATCGTGGAAGGAATACAGAAGCCTTTGCTTAGCTCGCTCTTCTGCATGTCCCTGGGCATAATTTCAGCAGCTGTTGATAAGAAAGCAATAAAGCCAGCACGAGATTCTGTGAATTTATTCAACAACAATCTAACATGAGGCAAAAGCTTAGTCTTTGCTTGGAAAATTACTCGAGACACACACACTGACGCAGCATCTCACATTGACTCTGACTGGTGAGGGCTCTGAAGGGGAAATGTCATTGTTAGTCAAAAATTGGTGTTACCATAGAAATCACATGTTGTTCTGGTTCAGCAGTGAGTTCAGAAAACTAAGTGTGTTTTTTATTTAGTAATCCTTAGAAAGGCATACACAAATATAGCACTAAACCATTGTATATTAGTTTAGGGAAATGCAATCCAAAGCAAAAATAAATAAAGAAAACAAATGAGCTGCTCAGTGCTGTTTCTTGCACAGTATAATGAGGACAATTTCTATAACAGAGGTCAAGCATTTATCTATAATGATAAGGTGAAAGTGTGCTGACAGAAAATTGAAATGTTTTATTAACAAACATGCATAAATCCTTAATTCTGGGCTTTGTAAAAGCCACTTTGGCAGAGCGTTATGGATAAGTTTTTGCAGGCTTTAAATACCTGGATTTAGCCAGTTTACCCAGATCTCCCAGGCATAACCTACTCCTATCAAGGTTTGTCAGATAGGATGAAAAGCATCTGTGAATTGCCACCTCTAAGTCTTTGCAGTTTAATGGCTTTTTTTGTTTTCCTGATAAGACCAGAAAATTATTTTTTCTTCTACCCAAACTCTAGGCAGGCCATCGGTGATGTTTACTCAAGAGTGGCTTCAGTTTATCCATTCTACCGTAAAAGCCTGATTTTTGGAGTGCTGCTGAGACAGTCGTCCTCTGGTCTCTGTAGAAGGCTTCTGAAGCTTTGTTTCCCCCCCCCCTCCTTTATTTAACCAGAAAGTCCACCAGAACCTCCCCAGCATAGGCATAGGGAGCATGAGAGCAGGGGAACCCCACACCCTTGTGTGAACCCCTGTGTAACTAACCACCAGATATCCAATTTCAGGCGTGCTGAAGGTTCCAAACTTCTTTCACGTCACCTTCACCCCATTGTGCTCCTTTAAGATTTCAATGCTATAGAATGCTTTCTATTAGTACCTACACATTTAATGATGCCCTACAAAAGTTTAAGCTAAAAAGAGAATTTATTAGACATCGAGGTCTGATTTTATAAATGTCTGACGAGCCTCTGTTAGTGTTGGCCACCTCCACACAGTTTAGTTTGCTACTAGGTTTTTCTTGATACATAGAGGATAAAGAAAAAGAAAAATGGCATCAGTATTCCCATCGTTTCCCATTACATCTCAATGATAATTGGAGAAAACGTAATGGACCCCAGTCAATGTTGCATGAATTAATTTATAGAAGACTGCAGTGTTCAAGTTTCTGTGTAATAATTTTGTACTTTATATCCATTATGTAATAGTATTATTTTTTTTATTTGTATTTTATTTCTTTTCTTTTTTTTTGCTATAGCTCATAAAAGGAATGTTTTATGTCCTTTGTTGGACACTTAAATGCAAAAATCTGTCAATTAAACTTCATGTGGTGTAGGCTACATACTCTCATCAGCTGAATCAAATGTAAGAAAAGGTGGAATTGTTTTTTGGAGGAAAGGGTGCAGGTTGCACTGATGCTACCTAAAAGACAGCACACAGATAAATGCAAAAACATCACTTAAATACTGTAAAAAATGCACTTCTATCTGTACAACTCAGGTGCTGCTGCTGTGTTCATGTGTTTAAGAATGGATGTGCTGACTGTGAAAAGGAGGAGGTGGTGGGAAGGAGGAGGAGGAGACTCTGCTACTGTAGCAGTGCATCAGCAGAGGTGAGACTACAGCCACCACTACATCACAGTATGCAGACTGGAAAGGGCTGATGGAGCCACTCTCAGTTTAGTTCCTGCAAAGAACACCTTGTGTTTGTTCTGTTTTCACTCGTGGACACACAAGATTTCAAGGACACCTGTGCAGTCGAGGCAGTGCACATGAAGAGACTGACTGTCTTGTTCTTTTGTTTCAACCACTTTTCCCGGCAAACGGTGATGGCTGAAGGGCAGCTAAGTCGGCCAACCTTACCCCAGCTGCCTCACATGCCAGAGGAGACAAACAGACCTACAGTGGGCAGCAGTATGTGTGTCATTAGTGCTGACCCAGATGCTCTGAAACACTGTCCTGTGACCGCACTGCACTGCATTCCCAGAATAACTCCTTACAGCTCATTACTGGCTGTAATAATGGGGCTTAATAGCCTCTGTCATTGAAATGCAACACAAATAAAATGCCATCAAAGGAACAATGGGGAAGTGAAGTTGAATTGGGAGACAATGTTGAGGATGAGATTGCTCACCCTGAGGAGAAACAGAGCTCTGTGCTCTGTGCAGTGCAATCTGATCAGTGAGACAAAGGCTTCAGGCTCAGGTGAGCGTTACATCACATATGAGCAAACCCCGAGTAGACCAGAATCAACAGCATGCCTAAAATATCATCTCGTGGCAGTGCCGTTTATAAGAGACCTTGTCCAGGGGAGAAAATACTCCCTAATCTCATTCATTGCAGAAGCCCAACAGTGTATCACACTGTAGAGATTTGGATTCATGGCTAAAGGATAGAAGTTTTCTTTTCCTAAAAATGATTTAGAAAGCTGTTGAGCAGACCATAGCTGCATCCACACAGCCCGTGAATCACGCACCCAGCAGCGGATTACAAAACGCTGCCCGTGTTAAACAAAAGATCCATTTTCCACTCAGCATGTTCTCATTCTTCCACAGCAGATGTCACAGCCTAGATGTGAAAAATGTGAACGCATAAAAATCACACTCTGCCACGGCATGTTGGAGCAGATAGCGCGACGGCGCGTGCTTACCCTCTGCGGCCAAAGAGCACCGGACAAGAAGTAAAAGCACTGCTACAGACAGCAGACAGTTTGCAAGCATCCCCGCTGCTCCGACTCGCAACCTGGTCCTCAAACACCTCCCCTCTCCTCCTGCATCCGTCCGCTGCGGCGAGCACCCATCGGGGTCTGCCCCGCCGGTTCCCGCCACTCTGAGGTGACCTGTCCGCCCACTCCTCAAACCGGGAGCCATATCCAGTGGACAAGTTGCTGAAGTTTCGCTCGTGAATAATACATTGGATCGCTGTGTGAACGGGAAACAGGGCCGTCCCGCGGTCTCGTCGCGTGTCCAGGTCTGGATGGTGGGGGAAGCGGCGCTGAAGGGAAATTAAGAAATGTGCCCTATCGCCCCTCTCCGCTCGGTCCACCCATCATCACTGTGTGGCGCAGGGCGGCGCGCGCACTTTGCCAAAGGTTTGACATTTAGCTGTTGGCGGTGAAGTGCCACATCCAGATCTGGTCCAGGTGGATGGCAGGCATTTACTTGCGCACAGGCAACATTCAGTCATGAAAGAAAGGCCAGCCTACCGCTGATTGCTTGTGGCTGGATGATTTTGAAGTGTGCCACCTTCCTGGCCAAACTGGGCGAATTAACCTCTCTGTTAATTGTAGTGAGAATGGAAGCGAGAGGGCAGGACGACCTCTTCTGGCGGTAACTCGTTAAGAATCAGATTTCTATGTGGAGCTGCTTAAAAAAAAATGATGGTTGGTCTTCTTTGCGCTCTTACATGTTGGGTTGATATTAAAAACGACAATAATCACGTGACACTAGCCTATTAACACGTACATTATCTTTCTTAATGGTTACCGTAATTAATGCGTGAATACCTAATTGTGCGGATAATGGCTGTTGTACCTCTTGATGTCCACAGGATGGCAGGCCAGACCCAGAAAACACAGCAGGTCGTCAACACCAAAGCCCACTGAACACGATTTTTTACCAATTTGAACATTTTATCATTTGAACATTAACACGTCTTTCCGGTTGAGGTAATTTAGCAACCATAATCATTTGACATTTTTCAGAATTGTGCTCACTCGTGTTTCTTATTTAAGAATGTGTGGAACAAGCTCCAGGTTTTAATTCGGGAGACACTTTTCTGCCGTCGATGTTTTTCTGCTTTTGACGCATACACTCCCGTTTTTACCTCCTGTGAGTTTCTACAGATGTCAGCTGTTGATTTTTTATTTTAAATATAATACATTATATTATAAATAAATTATTAAAAATATAGATTTTAAGCATATAGTTGGGACTGGATCAGGTGACCCTGAATCCTCCCTTTAGTGACGCTGCAGTAGATCGAGGCTGCTGGGAGCTTTCTTCTTATTAACGTTTTATCACTGTGTCATAAGCCATTATTCATCTTTTTTACCCTTTCACAGTGTCTTTTGTCCGGTCTTCCTCCCCTCATCCCCAACCGGTCGCAGCAGGTGTCTTCCCCTCACAGACCCTGGTTCTGCCGGAGGCATCTTCTTGTCAGAAAAGGGAGTCCTTCCTTCCCAGTGTCACCAAAGTACTTACTCATATGGGCAAATCTGATTGTTGGGTTTCTCTGCACAATATAAAGCCCATTGAGGGAACTGTTGTGATTTGGAGCTTTCAATCACAGCACAAAAATCTTCTTCAGTAGGTGCAGTTTATTGTGTTCAGGTTCAAATTTCAGTTTCATCCGAACATATTCATGTTTGGAGATTAAATGCAACAGATTAACTGACAGAAAACTCATCTTTTGTCTGATTCCAGGTTCTCATGTCTGATAATTGAGCAGTTTTCTCCTGAAACAATTCTAAAGGATAGTCTTTTTGTTTTTGACAATAAATGTCAAGATACTACCTTGCAAACTCTACTTTTCCTGTCACACACTAAAACAAATAGAAATGAGTCCAATCCATCATTTATATTAATGTGCATTAATGTGAATGAACAGACCAAATCAGAAAGAACTGCATCAATAGATTTTTTTTTTTAATTCAAAGTGAATCTTAACAATAATACACCATAAAGTCTTATTTTGACACTCACCAAAAGAGTCACCTGGAAAACCTGCTTAATGTGACAAAGTAGAGAAGGCTTGGTCACACCTAAATCACTGAGAACTAGAGAGGAAACACTATCGCAAACTGTAAAGAGACATCACATCCATAGAGTTAGTTTTCCCAGTCCTCATACTGTAAATATTGCACAGTGCAATTGCTACATGGCAAACTAGTGTAGCACAAAATTAAAAAAGCAAACGAACCAAAAACAGGAGGAAATAAAAGCCACAAAACAAAACAAAAAAAATCTACAGGTATTAAAACAGTAACAGTTCAGATTTAATTATCAAGTCTAATTGATGAGCAATCCAAACAGATGATTCCATAACTTGCAGTGTGAATTAACTCTGAAATTGATACAAGTGACCAGAAAACTGAAAATAAGAGCTTGAGTAAAACAAATCTCATATTAAAATCAAACAGTTACACAGTAGCACAATTAGACTAATACACACCCTGAATTAAGATCTCTAAAGGATAATACCGCAGCAGAGGATTTTTTTTTCCATATCAAAGTCATAACATTAATAGAAGTAATTTTACAAATGACTGTTTTATCTGTTAAATGTTAGATGAATCTTCAAAAAAAAAAAAAAACAGAAAACAGAAAAGAAATCAAGGTGTCAATCTTGTGGAAAATTAAAAACAGTTTTAAGATTTCTCTCCTCTTGCATCCATTCTTTTCCTAAACAAGTACGGGAGAGTTTATGCAGGCGCATTGCTGGTGAATACCTTTGAAGGAATCAAAACACAGATTACATTTCACATGCTTATTATTGGGGGAACTATTTCAAGCACTAATCTGCCAAGTCCATGCCTTGTCATCATAAGCTTTCTTTCCCAAAGGGATATTTGAGTATGATCAGTAAAGCATACAAGTCAGACAAAAGCTATTAAAAAACATACAACCATATCAATGTCAGTGGCGAAATGTGGAGTATTGCACTCATGACTGACAGAGAACATGACAACCTCCTCGACAGAGCTCTTTTCGTCCAGAACCCAGAACAAAAACACCCAGATATACTCTTGCTGGATATAAAGCATAGCTTCTGATTTTTAAAAGGCCAGTGTTGTCAGCCGTGCTCTGGTTACTCCCACTCAGCTTCAGCTTGCATGATAGGAGCGCTGCTCTAGGCAGTCAGCTTCTAGGCAGACAAAGTGAAGCATCTAAGGTGTACATGCAAGGTAATGTAAAGCATGGAGATTATCTAAGAACACTTGGTGGTGCAATGACCGCACAATGTAAAGTATTGCATCTGCTGTTCAGCCAGAGTGACTATCCAAAGACCATTGAGTGAGTGTCATTCAAAGCGCACGCATGTGTGTGTTAATCAGAGAGGTTTTATGTGGCGACTGTGTGAAACAAGCGGAGAACCACCACTACGCTGTTCATGTGTATAAGCTGATCAGAGTCACTGTGATGAAGTCCTACTTTGAGTTGTTTTTATTCTCTGCTTCTTGTTTTTCTTACTTTCCTCTTTAAACTCTTGGTCAAATGTCTGTTAAAAACTTGTCCATTCTACACTGTAGGGAACTGTTACTGAATTCTACTCCTTCCTCAAATAAATCGGGAAGAAATCACCAGCATGAATTCTCACTTTCTGAATCTCAAGGCACATAAACAGTGCTGCTCACACTGTCTCAATTTCAAGAAAGGACATATCACAACGGTAACTGTTTCGCACCGACAAAACATCATTTTGATATTAGACACTCATAAAGGGGAGAGCGATCTGAACTCAAGGCAGTTTAGAATATCAAACTGTGAAACTGATATCCTAGCCAGATATAACATTGAACAGATAAAAGGGCTGCAATAAATACTTTGATCAAACCAATTTAACAATAAAAACAAATCAGAAAACGTCATTTTAGAACAGAAAAATTGGGCTAAATTTCTCTCTTACAGTCTAATCACCCAAACCCTAACAAGCCTCCCTACCTCTATAAGTGCTTAGTGGCAAGTGCGTTTGTGTGTGACTAGTGGAAACAACACAGAAGTCTTCCAATGGAACACAATGTTTTTGTTTTCCCCCCCGGCATCTCGAAGTGCCCTCATAACCCACGAGAGTACTGGTAGCACACCGTTTACTCACAATAAAAAAGTTAACTCAATCCTGCAAGCTATAGCTTCAGATGTGTACAAAACGTCAATATGAAAACATACAAAAATTAAGTTACATCGATACATCATTTATATGCAGTGACGAGCCCAAAAGGTTAATAAGGATAAAATACTGATGCAAAAAACACGCACCCCGAGAAACGACAAATGCAACTAATGTTCATCATCAGCAATACAGTAGTTACAATGACACTTCAAATATGAACGCAAAACACAAAAATCAAAACCACTTCTATTTCAGATAATTAGGGACCTATACAAAAATAGCAACGCTAGGTTTAAACTCAGAGAGAAATCACCTAATTTCACAGCTATTGAAGTGGCAATCATATAGCAGCTTATCTATGATACATTCAAGAAAGAAATGATACGACTTATTAATTGCCCAATAAGCTAGACAAAACCTCAGCTGTTTTTTTTGTTTGTTTTGTTTTTTTTAAATACAACTTTTTTTTGTTTTAATTTAACCCCATCCTACAACTACAGTACAACTGAGGTCTATGCAAACAGAATAGCTACCTTGCTCAAGAAATGAATTACAGTCTTTGGTGCTGCACAAGCAACTTCATTTGAAAAGAAAAAGACAAAAAAACCCACACATGTAACTAGTAAAACAAACAGAAGAAAAAACAAAAACGCACACACGCAGCATATCTACATATATATAGACTGGTGCTACAGTCTTATATATGTATATATATCCTCCCTGACGGAATGTATAAAATAAGCAGTTGACACCGATAAGCTGTAAGCCTTTAACAAATGGTATAATGTAAAGTGAAAAAGTTAACTTTGTCACACATGCATAAATGAGAGAATTGCACACAATTAACTCACACCTTATCAAGCATCTGTACTAAATAGTCTAGCTCTATAATATATGTCCATATATGTGTGTATATCAAATACTGCATGGTTTGCTCAGGCTTAGAAGATTCCATACTGTGAATTAATTTGCATTTTTTCTTTACCTAATCAAAGCCATGCCCACCACACTTCTAAACATCTAAAAAAAATAAAAACAAAAAACAAAGTGAAAACACTCAAAAACGAAAATACGAAGACGAAAAATGAAGAATAATCAACGACTATTTAGATTGTATTGCAGTTTCAAACAGTACAAATACTGTTAGTAGTAAGAGTTTCACTGAATAGAAAGTGATTATCAAATATTAAGCAATACTCAGTACTTGCACTTTGTACACTAGTTCATTCGGGAACTGGAGAATGAAAAAAATAAAAGAATAAAATGAACTGAATGAAACAGCAGGCATTTGCAACAGCAAAGCACGCTGTTCTACTTGAAAGAACAGAGGGGGGAAAAAATGAACTCACTACACGCTGAAATATACACAGACTCGAAAATATAAGCACCGCTATCCGCGATACATCACATCCATGCAGGCTATGCATGGACATATACACATGTGCATATATATACACTCACACATAGGATGCATCGACTGATTGGAATTTCAAG